ACAAGGGATTTGTGTCCCCCCTCCCCCCCCGCCCCCTTTCCCATAAGGTAAGCAGAAGGGAGGGGGGGATTCAGATTGTAATATATTTGCAGCCCTCCCCCCACCAACACACACAGCAGCCCTTTCACACACCGCACCCTTCTCATACATAGCACCCAGCACCTCCCCCCACACACACACAGCACTCCACACACACACACAGCACCCCTCTCACATAGAGCACACAGCACCCCTTTCACACACAGCACCCCTTTCACACACAGCACCCCTTTCACACACAGCACCCAGCACCTCCCCCCCTCACACACAGCACCCCCTCACACACAGCACCCGCACCCTTCCCCACACAGCACCCCTCTCACAGCACTCCCACACACACATAGCACCCCCTCTCGCACACACACAGCACCCCTCATACACAGCACTCCGCACCCGTACACACAAACGCATACACTGCCACCCTCAATGCAGCATGTGTGTGTTTGTGTGTATGTATTCAGTAGTTTGTGTGTACAGTTTGTGTGAACTCCGCAGTCTGTCTGTACTCAGCATTCTGTACATGTGTGAGTGTGTATTCAGCAGTCTGTTTGTATGTGTATTCAGCAGTCTTTATGTATTGAGCAGTCTGTGTGTATGTTTGTGAGTGCATGTATGCAGCGGACTGTGTGCATGTATTCAGCGGACTATGTGTGTGTGTTGGTGTGTATGTATTCAGCAGTCTGTGTGTATGTATTTTATGTATGTATTGCATTTGTTGGCGATACTAATAAATATAAGCCTAATTTTATCTATAATTTTAATTTGTATTCCTGTGCGTTGTGTGTAGGCAGGGCCCCAGTGCACTGCTTTGCCCAGGGGCCCATAATGTTGTTAAGGTGGCACTGGTGGGTGGGTGGGTGGGATGGAGGGCTGCGAGGGAGCACTGACTTACGTGCGGTTACAGCACTGCTCCCTCCATTGATGCCGCCAGGAGACATGAAATGGCGTCAATCAGGCGCCGCCACCTGGTTGACATAATTTCCTGTTTTGCCGGCAGCACCAGCATAGGGAGCAGTGCTGGAACAGCACGTAAGTCAGTGCTTCCTCGCGCCCACACCCCCTTACTGCAGCGGGAAGGAGGTAGGGAGCCAGGGAGTACTTCAAACTCCCACCCGCACCAAAAAAAAACATTATTTGTGTGCTGGTAGGGAGAGGGGATATGCTGGGGGAGTGAGGGGAAAATGCTGCGGGGAGGGGAAGAGGAGAATTAGTTCGGACAACTGTACGAGTTGTTTTTTTCTAAACGTAAACCTCGGTATTCGGGTTTAATTGCTGTGTTGGCACTTTGAGGAGAAAAAAGTTGGCATGTATTGCGGTTTGGGCACTCGGGCTCAAAAAGGTTCGCCATCACTGGCCTAGGAACACCTCTAGTGGCAACTGGAGAGGCTTCCTGGGGCAGAGACAGTCAGTGTCTCCACTGAACTTTCCCCATAGAGATGTATTGATTCATTGCATCTCTAGAAGGAGATGCTGATTGGCCATGGTAGTGTTTGACTCCGCCCCCAGCCTGCCTCCTTAACGATCTCAGCTAATCCAATGCTTTCCTATGGGTGATTGTGATTGGCTAAGATCATCACTTCTGCTATCATCAGCCAAGGAGGTGGATTGGGGTGGAGCAGCACTGGCAAACTGGAAATAAGGTAATTACTGTTCTCTATTTAGTGGGGCAAGGGAGGGCCATTGGGGCAAGATAGTGATTTTAACACTACAGGGTCAGGAAGACATGTTTGTGTTCCTGACCCTATAGAGTTCCTTTAAGCAATGTTAACATAGAGCTACAACCTTCCATGATTGGCTACAAGGTTCATTGTTATGACATGGCTAATGATTTGTTATATAAACCAATACTAGAGTGACTAGGATTCCTAGTGACAGTCTAAAAGAGTCAGACAAACAAATATCTAATAGCTAGCAATGCATCTGAACAGGTTACAAAATAAAACAAACCAGCAAAGGATAGTAACAGAGAAGAATGTTTGAAGTTGAAAAAACAGTTAACCTCTGGCTCTGAAGATTTTTGTTCATCTTGTGATTCTCCATATTACAGCTAGCTGGAAAGTTGGAAACTATAAATCAAACCAGATTCCTAGCTGGCTTCTTGCCGTTGGAATGGTTGGTAGCATAGGGTAAATACTGAACTTCGTTACAATGGAGACTGCACCACTGATAGCAAAGAAACTGGTCCGAGAAATAAACAGGGGAGATTACACAGCACAGACCTGTAAATTATTATTTTAATTGGAAAAGTTTAGCACTGGAGGTGATACATCCTGTAGAACTTAAATCAGGAAATGTATAAAACATAGTCAGGGATTTCATTAAGGTGACACTCCGTTATAGCTGTACAGGATGGAAATCTTAATATATAGTCTGCGGCTCAGTGGAAAAAAACACTCCATGCCTGGCAAAATGAATGACCCCATAGCTAGCACTAAGCAATCCCCTCTGTTATTATTATAATTATAAAAAAAAAAAAAGTAAGAAATGATCCCAAGGCACACCATTTCTTATTTTTTTTATTGCATGTATATATCTGGTATGGGAACAGATTTCTTTCCCTGTACCTTATAAACCACACACTTACTACCCATTTTTCAGTAGAGCTTTTCCTGTAATTTTATGTTTGATTATTATAATTATTGCCATTTATATAGCGCCAACAGATTCTGTAGCCCTTCTGTTATAGTCCGAGTTAGTTTTACACACACTGATGCATTTGCCTGTATATTTAGAATGTTCTGAGGGAAACTTACCAGCACGCCAGTATCGAAAGCGCCGTGAAGATTATGATCGGGATTGGGTAAGAGGCACAGAGCAACCCATGGCTGTAAAAGGCCTGCGATATCCTCTCACGTAGTTTATCAGTCAGGGGCATCCTTAGCGGCTGTCACCTGCGGCCCATCCCGTAATCTGCCCCACAAGGCTACTCCACGGCAGGCTCTCTGCTCACAAGGAACATGAGGGAATCTGCGGGAGACACACACAAAGAGCTTACAATCTAAAAGAATGCTGGAAAACTGGCATTAGACACAAAATAGCAATAGATAAATTAAACAGGAAAGCAGCAAAATATTAAAGCAAATTGCTTTCTAAATGATCAAAAGTTGTTGAAATGAGATCCTCAGAAGAAATGATTAACAGAAATAAAACTCACTGTATATTTTGGGTGCCAGAGCATGCATTGCTTTCACAAGAAAGGATTAAACTGAGTGTTGAGTGCCAAAGAGAGGGCCCATTCTGGCATTCAAAAGGTTAATATATTAGCCAAAATGGAATATATATATTAGACTCCAGTCTCTATATAGTGTTTTACTTACTCCCCTTTCTAGGAGGTTATATCCTAAGCCCAACAAGAACCTCTTCCATATTAATTCCTCCATAACAGACAGCGTCATTCACTGGAGTGAGAATTTCTGGGACATTTTTAAAGAAAGTGATTGCAATGTATGGCAGAGTCCTGTATTGCACTGATTGCTAAGAAAACAAAACATGTACTTGGAAAATAAGAACACATTGAGTATACATGCTCTCCTCAGATTTTGGGGAAAGAAGGGGTTAAATATGAGAATGAGCTGCAAGGTATAGGGAGGTTTCCTTCTGGTCCCATCAGTGAGGTGAGCGAGTGCAGCAGAAGGCACACCGACATGATCAGGAATGTGACAGCCAGCAGGCACGGTCCTGTCCCATGCAGACACATGCTGTATTCCAGGATACATGACACCTGCTTGACATGAGGTGAGGCAAGTACTGCCTTACACTAACAGCAATAACACATTAAGCTGGGGAGGTGAGGTCTCATCTCCAGGAAGATCTAAAGTCGCTGCTCTGATCAATGTATAAACTTTCTATTCCATGCCCAATCCAAGCGATAACTCCTCTCTATAAAAGATGTAGGGATTACAGACAGAAGCTACAGAAACCACTGTTTAACATGGAACTGCTAGTAACTATGCATTCCAATCTCTAAACTCAGACACCACCAGACTCCAAAGCTGAAACAAACCGTATAACTAAAATCAATAATACAGCTCCATGTGGCCAGGTTATTACCCAGACAGATAATGAATATGTAATACAAACACTGACATTTATTGTACTCATTGAACACTCCATGGTGGGCACGATGCCAGGGATTAGTACTGTGGGTTCAGACTGGCACTGTGCACAAACATGAAATAAAACAAAACAACACAATAAACCATCCAGGAGTGGAAACATCGCCTGGCCCAATATTGGAAGTTATGTATTTATCCAGTAACTGGAGGGTAACGGTGGAAACATCGCCTGGCCCAATATCTGGAGGGTAACAGTGGAAACATCGCCTGGCCCAATATCTGGAGGGTAAAATTGGAAACATCGCCTCTCCCAATATTGGAAGTTATGTATTTATCCAGTGTCTGGAGGGTAACGGTGGAAACATCGCCTGGCCCAATATCTGGAGGGTAAAGGTAGAAACATTGCCTCTCCCAATATTGGAAGTTATGTATTTATCCAGTAACTGGAGGGTAACGGTGGAAATATCGCCTGGCCCAATATTGGAAGTTATGTATTTATCCAGTATCTGGAGGGTAACGGTGGAAACATCGCCTGGCCCAATATCTGGAGGGTAACGGTGGAAACATCGCCTGGCCCAATATTGGAAGTTTTGTATTTATCCGGTATCTGGAGGGTAAAGGTGGAAACATCGCCTGGCCCAATATCTGGAGGGTAACGGTGGAAACATCGCCTGGCCCAATATCTGGAGGGTAACGGTGGAAACATCGCCTGGCCCAATATCTGGAGGGTAACGGTGGAAACATTGCCTCTCCCAATATTGGAAGTTATGTATTTATCCAGTATCTGGAGGGTAACGGTGGAAACATCGCCTGGCCCAATATCTGGAGGGTAACGGTGGAAACATCGCCTGGCCCAATATCTGGAGGGTAATGGTGGAAACATTGCCTCTTCCAATATTGGAAGTTATGTATTTATCCAGTATCTGGAGGGTAACGGTGGAAATATCGCCTGGCCCAATATTGGAAGTTATGTATTTATCCAGTATCTGGAGGGTAACGGTGGAAATATCGCCTGGCCCAATATTGGAAGTTATGTATTTATCCAGTATCTGGAGGGTAACGGTGGAAATATCGCCTGGCCCAATATTGGAAGCTATGTATTTATCCGGTATCTGGAGGGTAAAGGTGGAAACATCGCCTCTCCCAATATTGGAAGCTATGTATTTATCCGGTATCTGGAGGGTAAAGGTGGAAACATCGCCTGGCCCAATATCTGGAGGGTAACGGTGGAAACATCGCCTCTCCCAATATTGGAAGCTATGTATTTATCCGGTATCTGGAGGGTAACGGTGGAAACATCGCCTGGCCCAATATCTGGAGGGTAAAGGTGGAAACATCGCCTGGCCCAATATTGGAAGTTTTGTATTTATCCGGTATCTGGAGGGTAAAGGTGGAAACATTGCCTCTCCCAATATTGGAAGTTATGTATTTATCCAGTATCTGGAGGGTAACGGTGGAAACATCGCCTGGCCCAATATTGGAAGTTATGTATTTATCCGGTATCTGGAGGGTAACGGTGGAAACATCGCCTCTCCCAATATTGGAAGCTATGTATTTATCCGGTATCTGGAGGGTAACGGTGGAAACATCGCCTGGCCCAATATCTGGAGGGTAAAGGTGGAAACATCGCCTGGCCCAATATTGGAAGTTATGTATTTATCCAGTATCTGGAGGGTAAAGGTGGAAACATCGCCTGGCCCAATATTGGAAGCTATGTATTTATCCAGTATCTGGAGGGTAACGGTGGAAACATCGCCTGGCCCAATATCTGGAGGGTAACGGTGGAAACATCGCCTGGCCCAATATCTGGAGGGTAACAGTGGAAACATCGCCTCTCCCAATATTGGAAGTTTTGTATTTATCCGGTATCTGGAGGGTAACGGTGGAAACATTGCCTCTCCCAATATTGGAAGTTATGTATTTAGTGTGGGTGCAGAGGACCTGTGGTGAGACCAGACAGATCCCATGCAGAAATAACCTGTATTGTGGAAACTTATCAATTTACTCTCATAAATTGTTTATAACCACTATGTGTCCTGACCACACAGCAGAACTGTCAGGGATAAACACTGCACTCCCAGCATGTCTTGGGCTGAAAAACATTTACTATGCTGTGAATTTTCCAGTAAACTGATTACCTGTAAAATCTGCACTGTTGTAATATACTCTGCTTTAGGACTATTCCTGAACTGTACGTCTGTGTGCGAGTACATGAGTGTAATGCATGGCGCAGACGCATGACCACTGCAAATGTGACAACTTTACCAAGTGTACATGAAATCACTACACAAAGCAACAGCATACTTAATAGGGAAACAAGGACTGTGCTGGCAGCCTTTACTGCGTCCACTGGAAGACTATTCCAGGTATCAACTACACTTTCTATATTTGGCATTCTATAGATTTTTATCACTAGATTAGAAAAAAAATTGCTCGATAAAGTGAATCCAAGAGGCTACATTTGGACAGCCAACCTAGTTTTAAGTAGATATGTATAGGGTCTGTCTGTATGGGGGAAACACTTAGCCAGCAGGAAGAGTTCATTTGGTTCTGGTTTTAACAGTAAATATTACAGCTATTGCTGGTGTGTATTTACAGAGATTTATTTCTAATAATCAATAGATTTCCTATAGCTCAGATTTAATGTCCATAGCATTACAGTGACAGCACACGATCACCTTGGTGTGTCTCCCATCTGATTAGTACATGTGTTTGCTTAATGATTAGTACACGGGCTGTGTGCCAGGCCCATCACTCATTTCAATATGACATACAGCTCAGAGCGCAGAGAATTACTCAGGGATTATTCCATAAACACTATGGGGATTGTTCTGTAACGTGGGGACTGCTGCCAATTCAAAGACATTTTAATATTTTAGATCACAACAGCCAAGCTAGAAACCCACCTGACTTGGACATTATTGATCTGGAGATTGTAACCCAGCCTTTGAAAGTCACTTTGTGTATATTTTACTAAATAGCCCAGGTTGTGGCAAGAAGATGGGTTTCTTTCCAAATCGCCCATTATGTCCTGAATCAGAAACTCGGAGAATAAAGAGACCCTGGCCACGTCTAATTAATAGCTACCATTTTGAATTGTACACATAATTTACCAGCTGCCAACACCTGGTGTGGATCATTTTAAAATCTCTGCAGTCATTTTGTTTTTTCTTTATAAATATTTCCATCTACCTATTGCTCCTCCCTGGTATGATACACAAAGGGAATCAGAGGTGTAAGAATTGTTCCCCCTTTCCTACCCATTGGAAAGTCGGGTGTAGTTCTCCAAATCTGAGACTCTGATTGGCTGCTGAAATCACAATTTTCAAAACCTCAGTAACATGTACTGAAATACTGGTTGTAAAGAATATCATGTATTTCCTAGATGGTGAGCACCATAACCACTACAAAAAGCTCATTAAAACAAACAAAACAATTAGTTGTAATGATACCGCATGCTGTCATGGTGACTGTGCCCAATGGGAGACTGTCTTTACATTACTTTTTAATTATGCCTAATTAAATATTTAACAATTACCTTTGAGGTTAAAAAAAAAAAAAAAGTTATGTCCTTTGTGATGAGCACCTTACATAGTACAGCATCTGTACATACGCACCAGGCGATGGGCACTGTACCCGGTACATTGGCTGTTACAAGCGGTATCATTAATAGGCCTCAAACAATAACAAACTAATTACCATGACCATATGGCGTGATTGAAATGCTCATGCCTCAATACCAATAATTAATCTATTCCAAGGCTTTGTGATTTTTTTTTTCTCTGTTGCACTAGTTGTATAAGCAAAACTATGATATATATTATTTTATCTAAAGATGTCATTCTTAAGTAGTGATGTCCCGAACTGTTCGCCGAACGGTTCGCCGCGGACTCATCATTGAGTAAACTTTGACCCTGTACCTCACAGTCAGCAGACACATTCCAGCCAATCAGCAGCAGATCCTCCCACCTCCTGGACAGCTCACTAAGAATGCAGCTTCACAATGGATGCTGTCCAGGAGGTGGGAGGGTCTGGGTGGGAGGGTCTGCTGCTGATTGGCTGGAATGTGATGATGAGTCCATGGCGAACAGTTCGAGACATCACTATTCTTAAGTAATGTTGTGTTGAGTATACATGTGGGGTATAATAAAAAAAAAAAAAAAAGCCCTATATGTCCTTTAAAAAATAAATAGATACATTCATATAATATGGGCAGGTGCACGTTAACAGAAACTACAGCAAAACTGGCAAAAAGGCCTCTGTAACAGACACACAGAATTGAAGAAGAGGCTTAGTCATGAGGTGTCAAATGTAGAAATTCACGCCACTATCTTGGAACTGTATTGCAACGGTGATGGTAGGAGCCACACTCAACCCTAGCAGCTACCCGGTGCTCTGGAGCAGGATCAGCAATCCCACAACGACAAGGTAATTGAGGAATTCCCTACGCACTCAAAGTGTTAAAGGCGCAGGCAGTTTTAAATGAAACAAAAAGAACAGTAACGTTTCGACCTCCTAAGAGTTAATTTTGAAAAAGACCTCTTAGGAGGTCGAAACGTTGCTGTTCTTTTTGTTTCATTAAAACTGCCTGCGCCTTTTCTGATCGTTTCCCTTTAATAAACAGTAGGTACAGAGCAGTTAGTTCATGGATGTGACATACCATAGGACTCAGTATCAGTGCTCTCCGGGGAGATTTCCTGATCATTTCCCTTTAATAAACAGTAGGTACAGGCAAGTTAGTTCATGGATGTGACATACCATGGGGCTCAGTATCTGCGCTCTCCGGGGAGATATCCTAATCGTTTCCCTTTAATAAACCGTAGGTACAGAGCAGTTAGTTCATGGATGTGACATACCACGCTGCTCATTATCCGCGCTCTCTGGGGAGATTTCACGATCGTTTCCCTTTAATAAACCGTAGGTACAGAGCAGTTAGTTCATGGATGTGACATACCACGCTGCTCAGTATCCGCGCTCTCCGAGGAGATTTCCCGATCGTTTCCCTTTAATAAACAGTAGGTACAGAGCAGTTAGTTCATGGATGTGACATACCATGGGGCTCAGTATCCGCGCTCTCCAGGGAGATTTGCCAATCGTTTCCCTTTAATAAACAGTAGGTACAGAGCAATTAGTTCATGGATGTGACATACCAGTATCCGGGCTCTCCGGGGAGATTTCCCAATCGTTTCCCTTTAATAAACAGTAGGTACAGAGCAGTTAGTTCATGGATGTGACATACCACGCTGCTCAGTATCAGCGCTCTCCGGGGAGATTTCCTGATCGTTTCCTTTAATAAACAGTAGGTACAGAGCAGTTAGTTCATGGATGTGACATACCATAGGACTCAGTATCCGCGCTCTCAGAGGAGATTTCCTGATCGTTTCCCTTTAATAAACAGTAGGTACAGAGCAGTTAGTTCATGGATGTGACATACCACGCTGCTCAGTATCCGCGCTCTCAGAGGAGATTTCCCGATCGTTTCCCTTTAATAAACCGTAGGTACAGAGCAGTTAGTTCATGAATGTGACATACCATGGGGCTCAGTATCAGCGCTCTCCGGGGAGATTTCCTGATCGTTTCCTTTAATAAACAGTAGGTACAGAGCAGTTAGTTCATTGATGTGACATACCATGGGGTTCAGAATCAGCGCTCTTCGGGGAGATTTCCTGATAGTTGTCCGTACCCTGGACGCCTGCCAACGCACGCAGCACAGATAAACATTACACAAACACACGCGAGTTTGGAGATCTCCATGGTACAGCTGTTTACAGTAACAGGACTCGCTGTACAGACCCACAATGCCAGACTGTCAGTACCAACACAGGGCAGATACACAGTATAATATGTGTATTTTCACAATCCTATGCACTTTTACCTACACAGACACAAGATATAAGGTTGTTTATCCTATATTCTGGCTCGTATTGATGGTGGATTGAGAAGAAAACCCACTATACAGTCACAATACTATGGCATTCTATTATTGAACTTCTATTCTGTTCTACTTCTGTTCTACTGTATTTTGAGCGATTTGCCCCCATATTCTCTTCTTAAAAACTTGCTGCCAAGAAAAATATTTATGGTATGCAAAATTATATTGCCTGAGCAGTATTAAATATAGAATTACAAAAAACAACAACACACAGATCAGTGCTCTCCAACTTACGGCCTGTCCATTAATTTAAAGATGTCACAGGACCCCTCTTACCCCAATTTAATATTGA